ATAATCCAGTAGTACAGCAGTTTACATTCGATCTGAAAAGAAGATGCCGTATATCAGGAGCTTTTGTTTTTGCCATTAATCAGACAAAACGAATGTTCAGAGGTATTTACAGGGTGAAAGGCCCTGCAAATTGTTTCTAAATAGACCCCTTAATATTCTTTTTTAAATAATACACGGATATACAGATAAGCCAAGTGTTCATGTTTTACCTGACAGCTGGCCAGTAGATGTGCTTTCAGGTGGCCCAATAGCCCTTGTTTGTCTGTGGCCCGCCATCGCTAAAATGACGTCAGGGGCTTTTACCTCTGACCCCCTGGATGCATTGTCTCCTCTTCTTGGTTATTTTACAGCAGGATATACAAGTATCCCGACTCTGGTAGGAGAATGATGATGTTTCACTTGTCTTTATTTTGATTGGCAGCTGAGACACTAATTCAACCTGCTGAACAAGTTTCCTAAATCTCTAACTACAGGCGTCCTACAAACATGAGGCACAGTTAGAGGACAACAACAGTCTCATTTTTTAAGTAGTCCATCAATTCTTCCAATTCTAAGCTGCAATTCAATATTAGGGAAAAATCGACAATTCAGTATTGATCTACGATTGTCTTCACTGTAATGAGACCCTGTCACCAACTTTAGAATATTGCAGGTACAAGCACAGAAAAATCCAATATTTTACATTCTTGCTTGCATCTCCTTAACATAAATGTTGACTTGCACTGTGCCTTTAAAATTGCTGAAATTTGACTACTCCTGGAGAGTCAATTTCCTAGTTCAGCCTCCTCCCTCAATGCACGTCATAGCTCTCCCTTCTACTAGGAGTGTCTAATTACTCTGTGCTGGTCCAGCTCCTCCACCTCCCTACTTAACCTTTTACATAGATGTCAATGGAGGATTGCATGTCCACATAGGCAGCCCATTCAGTTCAATGCCCTGCACGCCACAAACGTTTCAGCTTTTTGTGCGGGTTTTTTTTTGACTGCGTGTTTTTACATGACTGTGCTTTTTGCTTGCTGCATCAGCAACAATGGGACTGCAAGCAGGACAGACAATTTCTGTGCATGTATGCATCAACGCGTTTCACCATCGATGGCTTCTTCAGGAGAGAGGAGATGTTCATAGAAAACTGGTGAGCATAATCTAAAGGTAGGTATGCAGGCAGGTAGGTAGGTATATATATAGATCCAACCTGAAGTGTGTTTTAACAATACTAAGTCAGATGAACTCTGCTTACACCACACGGACACGGAGAAGAGAGTCTATCAGAGGAGTGGACGTCACCCCCAATGGGTGCAGTACAGTAATGAGTGTTGTCACCCTAGGACCGGAAGCGTGTTACTGGCAGGCAGGGCCGGATTGACTCTCTCCATACAAGTGATCTCGGCGACATTGCTGAGATCACTTGTACGAAACAAGCGGCGGCTTCCCCGATGTACATTTAGCTCTACTTGCCCAAAGCAGGGCTAGATGTTGAAAACAACTACCCACCCGTTGCTCGGAACTACATGTCCCAGGCGTTGGGAGATAGGAATTCCACACACCTGCTGCCCTTCTACTCCCTGCTGCCCCAAGGCACGGCCTTGGTTGGCCTTGTGGGAAATCCGGCCCTGCTGGCAGTATCAACAGGTAATTTTTTTAATTTTGTTCATCATACTGTATATATATAATAGGTTAACCACTTTAGTACCACAGTACATAAATAAACATTTTATATCTACCTGGACTTTGTCTCGAGGTACATAATACTTGCTATCTTTTGTAATACCCCAGCCTGCAGAACTCAGACTGGACTGAAAGGGGCAGTAATACAGTCCAGGTGTGCTGCGTCCACATGCTGACAGCTGAGGCAGGAGCTCATTCTTCTCCTTCATTGTCAGAGGCCTGGGGAGGTGACCAGGCTCTACACTTCTACTGCTCTAGAGATAAGTCAGGTCATCAGCCTAGCAGTGCTGTATAAATCCAATAGCTAGATACATGGGCATCCCGAGGCCAGGTGTCACCATGCATGTGCGCGATGACGCCATCGTGCATGCTAGGTCATCTAATTGATCATCTTAGTCATGGATTCCGGCAGAGAGAGTAGGGGACGTTCACCGTGCGGGATGAGGAATGCCGCCGGGTCCCCTCTTCTCTCCTGACACTGTTGGACTTTTTAGAGGGGGGGACATCAAAATGACTGTCAGTCATTTTTTGTGTCACCCCTCCAATGGTGTCATCCGGGTGCAGGGCCCCCCAGTACCCCCCTTGTGACGCCACTGGCTAGATACACAGAAATAGAAATCCTCAGGCAGGTGCACAGCTTCCATATCAGCCTTGTATCTCTATGTATCTGCGTCTCTGAATTTATCAGGACAATCGTACAATGTAACAAGATAATGTATCATTGTAATCCCTCACATTCCTTCACTGAACAAACACAGCCGCATTGACAATAATCAATCAATGTGAGCAGATGATCGGAGGCTCCGGGAATGATTAGGACCCGTGTACACAGGCAGGGCTTGTTCATACCAAGTGCGGAGCAGATGCAGAGCAGTTACAGAACGCATCAAAAACGCATCCCATTTATTCCAATGGTATTTTGGGCTCTAGTTCACACTGCAGCGTTCAGTTCCAGTGCATGTGGAAAAACTGCTGCATGCCCTATCTTTTCTGCTCTGGAACACACCAAAATGCATGTGAACGCATACAAATTCATGCAAATGGTCTGGAACGCAGTGGACCACACCTGAAAGCCCATTTGAAGCTAAAAAAAAAAACCTCACCGGAACGCATAAAAAGCGCATCAAAATGCACTGCACATGCAGAAACGCATCCAGGTCTGGTCCGGATTTGGTGTGAACAAACCCTAAAAAGCATGCATCCAACTTCCCCATAATGTGTGTTCTAATCTCAGCCTTGATGTGCGATGTGTTTTAGAAAAATATGACACATCTGTTTTTCCGTTTTAGTGCATTTGGAGGCTTGTAGGAGCCACTGGTGCACCAAAGCGCACGCAACATGTGTTTTGATGCGTTTGCAACAGGTATTACCGAGACTTGGTCAATGGCTGTTAACTTTATCCACTCCAAACCCAAACTCCAAAGAAGTTCACGCACCTTTTTTTTTTTTTTAACAAAAGGTGCCGCACGTTGCGTGGTGCGATTTCATGCACCTGAAACATTTGCGTGTTTGGGGTGCCGTTAAGGGTCCATTGACTTGCAACTGCACCTTCCGATTTCCTTCCGATTCGTTGCGCTGCGATACGCTTTCCTAACGGATGCTAACAGAAGGGCACCGAAAAATCAATGGGTGCCAATAGGGCTAGTTCACACCGGTTCTGCCGCTGCGCTGAAAACAGTAGTGCATGTTCTACTTTCGTCAGCGTAATGCAACGCAGTGAAGCAGTGTGAATGAGCCCCCTTGACACCCATTCAGTATTTGATGCTCTTCGGTTAGCGTCTGTTGACGTTTCGCTAGGCAATGGATCGGAATGCAGAGGATACGGTGTGAATGGGTTATAACTAGGGATGCACCGATATATATCGGCCACCGAAACACATCGGTGCATCCCTGATTTCTTTCCTCCCCATTGGGCGCTGCATTGTGTCCCAGCGGGGAGGAGAGAAACTGTGATAGCCGGCCAAGCGTTGCGGGAGGAGAGCGCTGTGAGCGGCCGGCGTCTCCTCCCACACCGCTCAGCCTTATATCACAGCGATGTGTGGGCGGAGACAGGCCGCGCTGTCACAGGAGGCTGAGCTCTCCTCCCTACACCGCTTGATCAGCCTCCTGTGACAGCTGTTAGGATGGAGAGCGGGTACAAACACTCAGTGATCAGTGATCGCTGAGTGTTTGTAGATAATTGAGGACAGAGTATGGTTACTATATCCTCAATTATGAATGAATGGGAAGTGATCTACTTCATCTCCTGTTCATTCATGATTGTGATTATAGTAAACATACTCTGTCCTCATGTTATGAATGAACAGGAACACTCATAGAGGATTCCTGGTCATTGATAACAGGGGACACAGAAAAAGAGATTGAGGACTCTGTGTTCTCAATCTCTTTTTCTATTTTAGAAGGGAAATATCAGGGGCCTGTTTAGACCCCTAATATTTCCCCCGAAGCCCCTAAAAGTAAAGTAAAAAATAAAAATATTTAAGAAAAATTAATCAATAAATAAAAATAAATATTAAAAAATGTAAAAGTTTATTTAAAAAAATATTTTAAAAATGTGAAAAAATTTAAATAAAAAAACATTTTCGGTATCGGTTTCGATCTGACAATTTTTTTTATTTCGGTTTCATTTCGGTTTTAACATTTCGCTGCACCTCTAGTTCTAACAAGTCAATGGCACCGCAAGTGCATTGAGCGTTTTGCATGCGTTCTGTGAACACAAGAACGCATGCACATGAACACACGAACGCAAACGCATGTATTCACAAAACGCCTAGCTGTCAAAGGGGACTTATGATACCTCCTAACAAAAAAAAAAGGATGTAAATGCATTTTCGTTTTGCATGCGTCTTTTATGCGATTTTTGGTATGAATGGGCCCTTTTTAAGCCCCCACTAGATCTCGGGGACCCCCAAGGACAATGCGTTGGCTGTGTACCGCAGAGCCGCCAGCGGACGTGCTGGGCTCTGGCCGACACAATAGCGCTGTCCTGTGCAGTACCCGAGCTGTCCAGCAGGGGGCGCCATGTGCCGCTCTCCCCATTCTGCGGACGGAAGGGGAAGAGGCAAGCAGGTCAGCGCAGAGCTGGGCAGAGCACGGATTGTACTGGATGGGATTCGCATGTCTCCGCACACAGACGAATATTTCTCAGTCATTCGCTGGATCTCGGCAATGTGCTCCACTGATGAGCAATGGATCTTGTGCAGGGGGGTGATCTTGTGGGGATTGTGATCCTGAGAGTGTGAATCAGCTGATCCCCATTGGGCTGATTGGGGATCGCACACCCCATCCCTACACCGGCTCTGTGTGTGTGTGTCCTCTGTTCCATCTGTCATTTAAAGCGGCTCTCCTTGTACCCCCCATAGTGGGATCCTGATTGCTGCACCTGGCTGGATTTTGCTCTCTTGCTGCTTTTGCCTGTCCTGTGGATCCTATTGCTGGAAAAAAAATGGAGGCTGTGATAGAGAAGGAGTGCAGTGCCCTGGGAGGTCTCTTCCAGACCATCATCAGCGACATGAAGGTAAGATCTGGATAGAGAGATGGCTATGGGCATCAGATGATTGAGATGTGTATTGGATACATGCGATCTGGTGTTCGCACTGTTGTGCTGCACGTTAGTTGCGTTGATGCATGCAAATGAATGTGTCCCCCCCCCCCAATGCACCTTGGCGACATAAAGTGGTGCAGGACACTTAAGTGCGCTGCCACCTAGTTAGTGTGAACCTAGCCGGCCGGAGCTGTGTGTATGGTGCAGTATATAGGGTGCAAGGGGTCTGGCGTAGGTGTCATAGAGCGTGCAATGATTGCGTTGTGTATCGGACGCACGCAAGAAAATTGGAGCATTTACCACAAAGCCTTCTGTGATTAGGTTGTGTGTGGGGCATAAGGGATCTGGCACAGGTCTCCTAAGACATTCTATGGTTGGGTTGTTTGTGGGGTACAAGGGGTCTGGCACAGGTCTACTAAGACATTCTATGGTTGGGTTGTGTGTGGGGTACAAGGGGTCTGGCACAGGTCTACTAAGAGATTCTATGGTTGGGTTGTGTGTGGGGCACAAGGGGTCTGGCACACGTCTCCTAAGACATTCTATGGTTGGGTTGTGTCTGGGGTACAAGGGTTCTGGCACAGGTCTACTAAGACATTCCATGGTTGGATTGTGTGTGGCGTACAAGTGGTCTGGCGGGTTGTATATAGGACACAAGCAATCTGGTGCAGGTACTGTAGGGCGTTCTATGATTGGGTTGTGTATGGGGCACAAGTGATCAGGTGCCGTAGGGCATTTCTTGTGCTGGTACTAAAGGACATTCTGTGATTGAGTTGTATATAGTATACAAGTAATCTGGTGCAGGTGCCGTAGTGCATTCTATGATTGGGTTATGTATGGAGTACATGACATCTGGGGCAGGTTTTATAAGGCATTCTATGGTTGGGTTGTGTATGGGTCACAAATGATCTGGCAGAGGTGCCGCAGGGCATTCTATGGTTGGGTTTTGCATGGAGTACAAGGCATCTGGAGCAGGTTTCATAAGGCATTCTATGGTTGGGTTATATGTGGGATACAAGCGATATGGTGCAGGTACTGTAGAGCATTCTTTGGAATGTGTATGGTGCACAAGTGTCTGGTGCTGGTCTCATAGGGAATTGTATGGCTGGGTTGTATATGGGGCACAAGCAATCTGGCTCAGGAGCCATGGGGCATTCTGTGATTGGGTTGTGTTTGGAGCACAAGCGGCTGGTGCAGGTGCTGTAGGGGATTGTATGATTGGGTTGTGTATGGAGTACAAGCCATGGGGCATTCTATGGTTTGGTTGTATGTGGGGTGCAAGTGCCATAGGGCATTCTATGATTGGGTTGTGTATGGTGCACAAGCATCTGGTGCAGGTCTCAAAGGCCATTGTGTGGTTGGGTTCTGTATGGGGCACAAGAAGTCACAAGGTGTGGCCCCCAATGAACAGGTCACCTGAAATATACTGAGCAGTGATTATACGCATAGGATCTTACAAACACAAGAGACATCCATAGTGACCTCTTTGAAAACGTCCAGCTGCCATGCTGATTCAATACCTTTTGGTATTTGGGGTAACGTTAAGTGGGTCGCTCTAGGTTCTGAAGATGAGGTCCATATCTGTATAGACAGTGTAAAGAAGACCTGTCATGACAGACGTGTAGGCTGCCTCTTGTTTGTTTCTTGGCTTTCATGCTGATCCTGTGGCTATAGGGCTTTCTGAGTCCCTGACCTGTAGCAGAGAGACACGAGAACTGACTTTTCCCCAGAACATTTGCTTGTTTTGGGTTTGTAACTGGGCAGAACAGGAGAGAACTGGGAAGAACAGAAGAGAACCGGGCAAGTAATGGCAGCCCCCATGTTGTCCCCATGACAGGTACACTTTATATTGGCCTGTAAGACTTCTCCACCTTCCTAATAATAACATCCATTAATACTTTTCTTCTTTTAGTAGCTTTGTGTCGGCTCTAATTACCCTAATCAGTGGCATTCCCCCCTTGTTTCCTTGGGCCAGCGCAGGCTTTAGAAGTACACATGCACCCAAGAGTTTCCGGGGACACGTTTTAGGGCTCGTAGATCAGCGCAGGCTCAACACAAGGACACGGCAAAAAGCAATTGTCGTCTGTGTGCCCCTTTCACACCACACGAGTGCCCCTTTCACACCACACGAGTGCCCCTTTCACACCACACGAGTGCCCCTTTCACACCACACGAGTGCCTTGAGTGAAAAAAAAATGTAGGTGTTGGTATTTTGACCCTTGCTGCGGCCTGTACTGAAAAAACGCATTTAAATTGAATGTGTTGGTCACCCGTGCTTGCGTTACTCCGTGCTCGTTTACTCCGATGGCTGCGTCTGTCGTATTGTGTCAGCCGTGGAGGTCAGTGCAGGCTTCAAAAAAACAGCTGATCAGATGGAGTGTTGGGTAATGGACTGTAAGGAAACAGGTGGCAGCGTGAGATTTCCCGGGAAGATGGACATTACTTGGGAAGCTGCTCTAGTCTTATTGGCGCTGTTAAAAATTGCAAGCGCGGCGGCGCCGAACAAGAAAAGGAACGCTCAACAAAACGGAACCAATGGCTTCCTATGGTTTAAGCTCTGCTAGTACTAGGAAGTAGCGATTTAGGCCCCATTCACACATCGGCATACCAGGAATGCGGTGTAGTGCGTTCATGGGCGTTTGTTTCACACTTTCATTGATGGCGTGCATTCCCAATACACCTATGTGTGAATGGGGACTAAGGGCTCGTCCACCTGTTTTGTTGGTGTGCGCTGAGAAAAAATTAGGCGCAATGCACAAAAGGCAAAAAAAAAAAAGGTTAGTATTTTGACCCTTGAGGTGTCCTGTAAAGTCACCATTCTTGGAGGAAAAGGAATTGATGTGAGAGGGAGAATGAAAACAAAAAGTTTTTAATGTGCAGTTAGTCTCCGCCCACACCTGTGTAACTTTGCCGGTTACACAACAAGAGAACTGGTCACATTTCTGGAGATTTTCTATCTCTATAGACCTCAATGGGAGTAAATGAAAAATGTATGAAACGCGTTTCCGTGCATTTTAGCGCATGCCAAGTCACCAAGGCAACCTGTACTTTATTTCACCTTCATTAACCAAAACAAAATCACAATGTGCAACAAAAATGTACTAAGTCCTGTGTTTACTTTCCGGATCTGTTATGTATGGGGTTTGGTATTGCCATGTCTTCCCGATATGTGGCTGTCATTGTCATCAGATTGTCGGCACACAAGACAAGCCCCATCCCCAGCACTAAAATCAGCCAACACCTCCCCCGGATGATGGGGGATCAGATCATGTTGCTGGGAGCCAGACGTCTGTAGCGTGTTCTAGATGTCGGTGCAGGTTTACACTCTGCGACTCATTCATATGTATTGACTGCTTCTCATTTCATATTCACCCGAGGTGTGTGTGTCATTGTGAACAGGGAATGAGTTATCTGTGCAAATATGTGTTGTATGTGTCTACAGTGTGTGTTTGTGTGTGGAGTATGTGTGTACAATGTGTGTCTGTGTATGGCCTCTGTGTCTGTGTGTACAGTTGTGTGTGTGTGTGTGTGTGTGTTTATGTGGACTATGTGTGTACAATGTGTATGTGTTTATGTGGACTATGTGTGAACAGTGTGTTATGTGGGCTGTGTGTGCACAATGTGTGTGTCTGCGTTGAGTATGTGTGTACAATGTGTGTGTGTGTCTTTGTATGGACTATGTGTGTGTCTGTGTGGACTATGTATGTACAATAGTCATTCCTCTAGTTGGCTTACTTTAGGGTCGTTCCTCCTGGTTGTGTTATTTTAGGGTCGTTCCTCCTGGTTGTGTTATTTTTAGGGTAACTCCTCCCGGTTGTGTTATTTTTAGGGTCGTTCCTCCCGGTTGTGTTATTTTTAGGGTCGTTCCTCCCGGTTGTGTTATTTTTAGGGTCGTTCCTCCCGGTTGTGTTATTTTTAGGGTCGTTCCTCCCGGTTGTGTCATTTTAGGGTAACTCCTCCCGGTTGTGTTATTTTTGGGGCCGTTCCTCCCGGTTGTGTCATTTTCAGGTCGTTATGGTTTGGTGGAAGGTTTTTGCTGTCCAGGTTTAGTCTGAGGCCTCGGATTGGATGGTATTTTCTCAGCACTGATTGGATGAAGCTCTGATAATGGAAGTGGATGACATGACGGGAATAGATGTTTCATGGACACTTAGTATCAGGAGATCATGTGACTCTGTGTTGGAGGATTGTACACCATTGATGGGTGACAATGTGTAATTCTCTGTATATCAGGGGCTGGCAATCTCGACCCTCCTGCTGTTGTGGAATTACAAGTCCCATGAGGCATTGCAAAAACTGACAGCCAAGGGCATGATGTGGGTTGTAGATTGAGCACAGCTGGAGTGGCGAGGTTGTCTGCCCCTGATTTATGGGCTCCTAGTTTTGTGCGGCATCGTGTGTGGAAGTTATGAGAAGAGAGCATGTGCAGGTTCAGCATTCTCCCCCGGTGAATGGAGCTATTGTGCTATTGTTACAGTGCAGAGGTGTTTCTGGGGAACACGGGGATTGTTCATCTCTGAGCTTCAGGCAGGATAAAACAATAAAAACATTAAAGGAGAACTATGAGGTGAGTGCTTTTCAGTTTTAGCCGACCTGTGACAATGAGACTGTCACAGGTCGGCTCAGTAGATCGGGAGGTGAGCGAACACATACCGGCGTTCGCTCACCTCTCGATCCTGTCACAGCTCTCTGCCGTGACAGGGGAGGGGCTGGATTCCCCGCTCCGATCCACAAGCGCTGACTGGCGGAACGGACGGGGGAGGGGGCGGGTACAGCTGGCTCTGCCTCTAGATAGGCAGAGCCTGCTGTCAGTCACGCAGCTTGGCGGATCCAGACATAATGTTGGGATCTGCTTCTGCGTCTCAGTATACCGCGAGCAGCAGCTTGCGGTATACTGCAGCGTCTCAGTATACCGCGAACTACAGCTCGCGGTATACTGAGCCTAGGGTGACAGGAGGACGCTAATTACGTGTCCT